GAGAGGGAGAGAGATATACCGTTTTCGGCCTGACCTGACTCCCCCACCTGCAAATAAAGAAATAAAAGTGGGAGGTGGGGAACGCCAACCCCATTGAAAGGGTTCACCCATTTGCACAGCGCCATTTTTGGTCGTTGGCCTGTGACCTCTGACCTGAACCAGTTTCACGCCCCTTTTTACTCTGCCCTGCTCTCCCTAGTTTGCGGCCTCGGGAGAACACCACCCTTCTCCCTCCGACGTAGACTGGCCGTGTCGGGTGACGCCGACGCCGTCCTCGTTGGACGCAAGGGGTCGCCTAGGCGAGGTGCGAAAGGAAAGGGGGCGGCGAGCAAATCCGGGGACAAGCAGCAGACTGTAGTGGAATTTATACCGCGGTCCGCGATAGCACGCGCAAGTTGGCCGCTTGTACGGGCCGGTACGAGCAGAGTGGAGAGGTAATTTGTCGCCGGGATGTTTTTCTTCATCTCTTTTCCACCAGCGAGCGCGCCGCCACCGTCGGGCCGGGGGCTTGACAAATATGTGAAAGTAATGAAAGTGCTGCGCGGTGAAGTTACCATGACGGCTCAACACACAAAACTCTCAAATGATAAATTGCGTCTCATCCAGGGGGAAATGAGGCCCCCGGGTCGTTGTCGGGCCTTCCACCACGCGGCGGGTTAAAAATTATTGGAGCGTGCCGAGCAATAAAAGAGAAGAGGGAGAAAACGCCGCGCCGCGCATCCCGCCAGCTCGGCTGCTTATGAATGGGCGATGGAACCAATCTGGTGCCTCGTTAACAACCGAGCGACGAAATGCAGTTGCAGGCGTGTGTAAAAACAAACTGATTTCATCGTGCACCGCTATTAGTGGTATTTCGAAAAAAAAATAAAAATATACGTGTGTTTGAACAATATGAGAGAGGAGTACGTAGTTACACGCCATTTTAATTACCTTTTTTTGTCAGTAAACTTGAAATGCGGGAGGGACTGTTCTTTGTTCCGACCACAGCTGATTGTACGACTTGAATCAGACCCTCTGCGGTTGGACCACATCGCCATTCTGGGTAGAGGGGGATGGAGATGAGGGGAAAGGGATGCCATGGTCTTCATTTGAGAAGCGTGGTGGCAAGAGCCACCGAGACACGTTCCAGCCAGCTTGCGGTTCTCCGCCGGCGAACATTTGGTGCACAAATATCGTTTGAAATTCGTCACTACCCTTTCCATGCAGCATTGAATTGTACAAGAGCAAAAGAGTTTAGAAAATATCTATGAATAGAAGAAGCTAGAGTATGGCGGGCTAGAGATTTGTGAGTTCAAAGCGAAGAGAGCTGGATCGTAAGAGATGTACAAAGGGTAAACCGAATAAGAAGAGCCAGAGTTAAATGTTTAAAAGATACAGGACCTCAACGCGGCCAGTAATAACATGACAAGTACCACAAGACCAGAAAGTTGGTACCAATTAGATTATATGTAATTCTGCATTCTCAGCGAACATAGCATGTGATCAGAAAAGAAATTACCAAGCATTCAGTAAGTATCCCCGGTGTGCTGTTTTATGGCAATTGTAGCCAAACTATTCAGTGGTGTCTACAGTTATTCGAAAATTAAGAGAGCTGTACTATTGTTGGGACCTAGAGCAAAGTATTTGGACATTCACAAAACTACCTTACGTTAGAAACAGTTTGTGAGTGAATAAGATTTTTACTTTTATGGTTTACATTTCAACTGTTATTACTTGATGTGAGTAAGCCTACAACTATGTTCAGGTTAATCGTTCTGAAAACAAAATATTATTAAGAAAGTGGAATAAGATCTATTTTGGCGATGGTTTGATAACAATCATGCACATAAATCCACTTAAGGCAGAGTCGAAACTACGAAGTTGAAAAAGACACTAGACCAAAACACGACAGTCATCACACAAGAAAAGCATGGGCTTACCTGCCCATTGGGAGACCCAGGAAGGCACAGGGAAGAACTGTTTCCCTGCAATCAAAAGTGGCGCATCAGCACAGCTACTGCAGGCGCTGTAAAGTGAATCCTTGACTACTAAAGAAAAAAATTAAAGGCAGCCAAAAATGACCAATGCGTGAGACTACCAATTCATTGGGGGGGAAAACACTAATACAAAAATAAATAGACGAAACGTTTTGTGTTCGCTTGACAACGGGGTCAAGTGACAAAGCCAAACGATTTTCTGACAAACACGTAGAGCATTACGTGCGAGTTTTGTCAGAGGGCTTTAAATACTTGTTACCTTCCAAAAAATCTGGTCAAACTCCTCGGTAGTGAAATTGTTCTATACGCAATTTAATTAAACGAACGGTTTCATAACAGTTGACTTGTACGCAAGCCACGAAACGACTCACAGACGTATCTGAATTATAAACTGAAACTTGTCCAAAATTTGCAAGTTGTGGGACAAAGCCGTTCAAATGGGAGCATTCCTCTACGGCATGCCATATGATTAATTTGTTATTGGCACCCATCAAGTGAGCCAGCAAAACCAGGGGAAACAAAACTACAATACCGACGCGTCTACGGGAACTACATACCACCTTTTACGACACCATGCTACTGGCATATGGACACATCTACAGTGCATGACTGCAAATATTTACAAGTGTGAATAATTCCACTTCGTGTATACCCCCCCCCCTACTCTTGCTTCGGTCGCTCCATTTAGAGGGCGGAGGGCGGCTGCAGCGGCGACAAGCATCCTCACCTTTGAGTGGATTTACATTCGGCTTCCTACGTATAAGCACGGACAAAAATAAAGCGAGACTCGTGCTTTGTATTATTGCCACTGTTTAGAAGAGAACACGCCGAGCGAAATATAGTCAGAACAGCGGGGTACGAGTGGAAGGGGGGAAGATAAGGGGGTGGGGAGGTTTAGTTTCAAACTCCATACTACGCAAATCTTGCAGAAACCTCTAAATATTAAGTATTTATTTTATTTTAGAATAACTACGGAATATCTAGGCCCAACGATTTACAGCAACAGCATTTACTCGAAAGGAACTAAGACAAGACGTGTGGAGGTATTGTCGAGTGGTTGATTACTTTGTTCGTGCTGCGGCGTGATTGCTGTAACGAGAATATCTTTTCAGATTTTCAAGGCATGTTTTTATAGTGCATTAGTAAGGTATTTAACGTCGGAAGGGAAATAAGGATCGGGAGCGAGGGAGCGAGACATTTCATGACCGTCATCGTAAATGATTTTGTAATCTCTAGTTTAAAAGGATTAACATAAACGGCATCATATATCCCTAATACAACGATAATAAATCGGAGTTGATCGCAAATGTATGCTTATATCTCGAAGGTTACTTATCACATATCGTTAGCTTCATTCTTCTTCTGGCGGTTTTTCATCTGCAATGAATGATGAAGAGTTGCAACTTACCTGAAACAAAAAAAAAAAAGTATGTCAGTGTTCTGCCTGGAGGAAACGCAAATTAGCAGAAACGTGCATGAAAGTTGAGTCCTTATCATCATTTTGTATCCGGGTCACAGGCGACAGCGCAGTAGCTCCAGTGAATAGAACTGAGATAAGCATTCAAGGCAGAAAAGGGGAGCGCAAGAGACAAAGCGTGTCTTGTCCTACATGAAAAAAAAAAAAAAAACACTCCTTCTATTGCTATCTTCCCCTTCAGCAAACACCTACCCTAGCAGCCAAAGCCACCTGCCGGAGATGGCAAGCGTCAAATATTGACCCAAAATGTTATGTTTGCATTACAGAACGGAAGTAGCTGAGTTTAGCCCCGCCTCGCTCAGCGAGAGGACGACAGCTCGAAAAAGTAGCATAGTATGAGAAAGCTTCCGATTAACTCAGACATAGTTGAAGAGAACTGCGTTACGCCCTGATACGCTATACCATCCCAGTTTTTTGACCTTCTCCGGATCAGGGAATAAAGGGGGACCAGAGGTAGGTCTCTACTACAAAGTCACGGACGCACGCCTCCCCTCCCGGGCAAGCCCTCTCCCCCTTCCAAACAGCACAACCCCACCGGGGGAAAATATATAGATATAACAACATTGGAGGAATTGGACCGCGCAGCTAGGGTCAATTGGATTACACAGGTTTGCCTGTTAGGGCAGCTCGGCGCTGTGCCACAACGCGTTCCGACGCCCTGCGGGCTCATGCACCAACAGCACACATGGTAGGCTTCAAAACAAATACTGCCCGCTTCTGACAGGCTGCTGCCATGCTCAATAGACAGCAGTTAAGACAATACCACCACTTTGAGCTGTTCCGCGGCCGCGGCGGTCAGGGCCCAAGTTAGTTCTTGCCCAGAGTTTATTAGATTCCAGACCCAAACACAGCTTACGGCCTTCTTTCGGGGCCGCAGCAGCAGCCGAAGATTAAGATTCCACATACTACACCTCAGCAGCGCACGTCCTTCCCCAGACTCGGATCATCCGTCGAGGAGAGAAAAGCAGGCCGCTGTGCTTTTTCCCCAGAGGGATGATGTGCGCTGAATATCATATGATACCAACACAAACTCGCAGAGGGAAAAAAGGGTGGCAATATTGTTGGGCATTTTTCGCAAAATCTCCGGGGTTTTCAGCACACGCCTTTGCACTGCTGGATTCACAGCGATGCACCGTCCGTGCATAACACCAGGTGTGCGGACTATGGTCCACTGCTAAAAAATGAACTGTATTTTTACAAAATCATCTGTAAAATCAAGTTGCTACCACTGATATTTGTTACAACGACGCAAACGTTCAGAAATTATCACTGAACAGAGCGACGACTGGGAGCGCGATTCTTTCAATAGAACCGAAATTGGAAGCAATGCGACGCTTTTCGTGTTTCGTCAGAGATGGTGCATAAAAGCCAACCCGCCGAGTATCCGAGTAAACATCGGTTGGAATTAAGGAAAGAAAAGAGCAAACTAAAGCATTGAAAAATCATGTTTTTTCTGCCCGTGTGGTAGTGGTTCAGGCTGAAATCTTGGCCATCGCCTTTAAGGCGCTGGTAAAGACTTGGAGAATATACGATTCTAGTCGCGCAGTGTAAATCTATTCTTTCACCCTCCCCTCAACTCTCCTCCTTCCTTCCTTTCTTCGCAATCTGTGTCAGCGCGCCTCCCCTCCTCGCCGCCTTGTCCGACCCGCTCTCCTTTTCTACATCCATCACCCGGACGAGAATCATTTGCTGCGACACACTTTAATATTTTCGAGGATCGGGAATAGGGCGACGCGGAGAGCCTCGAGAATAATTTCCCGGATCCAAATCAACGGTGACGAGCTCTCCCGCGAGTTGCCGGCGCCCGTGGAATCGAATCCTCGAGTAATCGATCCTACCTCTCCCCCACACACACATGGACAAGCTGAGTTTCGCGACTCCGGATATCAGCGCGGGAAGCTTGTGCTTTTACAATCATGGCGGCGGTGGCTCCGTCTAGCCACGACGGAGACTTATCGTGCGCTTAGGGGAACGGAGCGGCCCCGGGGGAGCGCAACCGCTCTCCTCGGCCCTCGGGTCACGGCTCTCCGGAGCGGAAGGCGCAGAGCTCGAGGGGGGGAGTGGGGGAGAGAGCGTGTGGTGGATGTCAATGCGTATTGAGCGCCACGACGGCGCGCGCCTTCCCACCGCCGCTAATCAAATGAATGTGAGGCGGGCGCGCCCGGGGCGGGGACGGATTAGGCGGATCCCATTACAGACCTCGCGACACTTGCGCGCCGCTCGCACGCGCCACGCCTAGACGGATATAATCGACGGGGAGCAGCAAGTTCACGACATGATAGATGGTTTGGGCCACCAGCTGCGGCTCCACTGCCCTCGTCTGGCGTTGTCCCACAGAAGCAACAGACATGTGGTGGGAAGGAGGCGGCTGCAAAGGTGGCGCAATAAAGGGTTCTCCACTAAGTAACTCGAGGGCCGCGCGCGCACCTCGGTAAAAGTAATGTCAATTTTTTTAAGGAAAAGGAGGAAACTTTGAGAAGCTGTTTAAGTTTTAGGATATCTCCACAGAGTTTCAATCTTTAGAATACCAAAAAGTGGAGGAAATTCCTACATTTTCTTGAGGATACTTCCTTAAAAAAAATTGGGGCGAAATCCACAAACTAAATGGGTTCCTCAAAGTTTTCCATTTTACCTAAAAAAAAAAAAATCAAACACTGTTTTTACCGTAGCGGTCAGGTGTGAGCTCAGAGGAGCGCGAGCCGCAACCGGGCTTTGATTTCCCACACAGAGCCAACAAAGACGAGAGAGCGGTTAGTCAGAAGAGGTTCCGCTGCTTGGCGTTATGCTGCTCTGCAATTCCTCGGCTCAGCCCTTGCCAGCTGCCGCGCGCTGGACCGCTGTTCATCTGTTACCACCACTGCCGCCAGAACCGACCAGGTTGTTCCAACAAGGCCAGCTCACAGGAGGGAGCCGCTCAGGGTCACGAAGTGGCCATCTCTCTCTAGCGCTCTCCCTCTCTCTCTCTGCGCCGGTGAAAGGCTGCAGATGATTTGCGTGTCACGCTCAGGCCCCTCTTTGCTTTCCCCCGGCATTCTTGGAGCAAACAGCAATGGTTCGCATGAAGAGTTTCTCCAAAAGTCATGCTTATTAGTATTCCGAGAGACTGAAGGGCTGTCAGTTGTGCCTTGTTCTTGCTTGTCATACAAGAGTGGTTCTTGTGACGTGCGATTGCCAGTTTAGTGTCAGAGCGAACAAGGGAAGGGTGGTGGTGGTTCAGCGAGGGGCTTCGGGGACGGCAAAAAAGCTCATCACAGGAAGGCGTGGCAGCGCGTGGCTGGGCGTTGGGCGTAAGGAGGTCACATGCATATCAATGAACTCGCTTTCTTATCAAAGCACTTTCTTATGATGGGCCCTCGGCTCGTAAGTGGCCCCATCCCGGCCTGGGCAGCCACCCCACCCACCACCCTCCGCTACGTCGACAACTTTCCGAATAGCATGCAAACATTTCGGCGAACAATCGAGCAGTGCGATGCCCGTCCAGGACGAAGACGGCGAGAGGAGGGGGGGGAAG